AAATAAAAAAAACAATATAATTGCTTATCTGAAAATATTTTTCATGTCTGAGTTTAAATTTACATTATGCATCTCAAAACTAACTGCATATCAAATGGTTAAAAAAGTCCCAAACTTTGAATTTTATTTTTCAAAAACTATCCAAAACAATAACAACTTTACATATTTTTACACTACACTACACTACTTCATAATATTGCCTCCACTAAAAAATTTTGATTCAAAACATTAACAAGAACGCATTTTGTACAAAATACCAGTGCACAACTTAAAGTTCTAAAAGGCATTTTTGTCTCATTTACCTGGGTAGTCCTCCTCATACTCAGCTTTACTCTTTTTGAAGTTCCCAGTGGTGGATGAAAAATTGGATGTGTCAACTCCATCAGAATATCTGTTGCTAAGTCTTTCTTCTCCAAAGTAAAATGGCTTGAAATTCCTTTCTAGAAGAAGCTTCATATGTATTTTTAAATTAAAGGGTTATCTTGCTTAATTACAATATTGTGGATAACAAATGGTGTATATTATTTAATTGAAAGAAGTCACAGTGGCGATTTCTCATCCCCACTACTGGGTGGTATAAGTGACAATGTGTATTTTAAATAGGGTAAACATCACTCACCAACTATTCAACACGTTTTCATACTATTGCATTTCTACTATGGAGATTGTCTTGATAGACATCATTGTAAATTGTCAAAATATGAGAAGACTACAGAGAGACTTTAATAAGTGTTTGGTTAACTGACATCACTGGATAAAATTGTCCAATGACTGTACACTGACTTCTGAAATCTAGGGTTCCCTATTCCAACAGTTTTGCTATTCTGGAGGGTTGCTATTCTGAAAAGACATTATAATTATGTTTTAGAGTAGAATTAGTTGGAAGCCAAGTCAAGCTTTTAGTGCTAAAATTCTGTCTGCAATACTGTGTAAATGCCTAGAACAACAACATGGCAATTTGAGAGGGTAATACTGTTTATATCAATCTTTCACAAGGCTTATTGACAAGTTATGATAAACATATAGACTTTATTTCATGAATATTTAAATCTTATATTCATCCATCAATCAGAGGTGAGCACCAAATTTAACATTTATAATTAAACATTTTCTTTACATTCAATTCAGATTTTTTGTGCTACTCTTGGGGTGCATTACAGAATAGCAGACTTTTGAAATAGTGAACCCTTGGGAATAGCAAACCTTTGGAACATCAGACTGTCAGAATAACAAAACTCAGAACTGCTGTCCCTCAGATCAGCAAATTATAGCCACTTTCCCCACGATACAGGAAGATTCTGATTGCACGTGAGGAAGCACTCTGTAACAGACATATGAGAACTGTAGAACACTGAAGCGAACACACTTGCTATTGGAGATCACGTTTGTATTCAGAATCAGACTGGTCCGCATCCAAATAAATGGGACAAAACTGGCACTATTAATGAAGTTAAACAGTTTGACCAGTACCTGGTGAAAGTTGATGGATCTGGACGCGTGACACTACGCAATAGAAAATTCTTAAGGAAATTCATTCCATATGTGTCATCTCTACCTTGTCACTATCATTGATGACCTAAAGCACAGTTTTTACATACAACAGCCTACAGTAAACAATGGCACACCTACATTCAGCAAATTACCAGAACCAGAATCTACCTTATTGAAAAATTCAGATGAGTCGGTGGAGTTGGAAAAAACTGTCACCGCATCTCTACCTATAGGTCCAAATGAAACTGATGGAAAGTGTAAAGAAACACGAAGCCTACCTTTCATGAAACACAACCATCTCATGAAACTCCTAAAGCACTTCCAAAACCACCACGGATATTAACAAGACTTTTACCACACAACAAACCCGGACTAAAGGAATCAAATGAAGAACTACGCAGATCTGTAAGACTAAATAAAAACTAACTTAAGCCGTCTTTAATGTTTAAAAGACTGGGGGGGGGGGGGGGGGCGGCATAGAGGATAATGAGCATACTGTAGTTTTCATTAAAAGGTAATTGCTTACCAAGAGTACCGGGTACTTAGTCAGATATTAGATGTAGCCAAAGGCTATGTTGCACCAGCACATTATAAAGCATCAGTACTTACCTGGAGAACATGTCATTCTCTATATGCACACTGTGTATATAGTGAATCACTCAGACACTGGACTTCACCCTGATAGGAGGTGTGCAGGACTTTTTATACCTGAGGTGACTTTCATTTATTTACATATATCAGTATTTCATAATCTAGTTCTTTGTTGTGTATTTCATATTTTTCCATTTATTATATTATTGAGTTTACTAATAGTTTGTTTGTATGCATTTCAGCCTTCATTGTTTCCAGTTAATAAAGATTGGAAATCAAATAGTGTCCATCTTATCTACAGTATGTGTGTGGGCTGTTGAACCATTGCAAATATTTTAAAGAGTATTTCAAAATCCTCATATTATGACAACTGTGCATATATATATATATATGTAGTGTTCGCCTTAAATGATATGAACACCAAGATTGGTTACCTTGACATTATCTTTGTTGTATATACATTTTGCGAGGACAGTGGAACAACTTCTTGGCACTGCCCACAGGATTACCCTCTTCTGTTCAGACGATGAAGTTGCCATATCACTTCCAAAGAGACATTTCATCCTAAAAGTGCATGTTTACTTTCTTCATTTCATTCTACTAATCTGATTATTTTAATTATATATTTAATGAAAAGTAAGACAGGCACCCAGACAGTGGTTTAAAACAAATAACACCCACCACGGCTTTCACAAGCAACTGTGGTCTTCACATTAAGCTTTTCTTTTGTAAAAGGAGACTAAAATTGAGCAAAGTGAAGGTTAAACTCATTGACCTCGTTTTCGAAAAACTCTTTGTTAAAGAGAAGCTGACCATTACGAGACTTGTAACGGAGGTCAAGCTCACATGGAACAGTAGTAACCTTGCCTAGCTCACATGGAAGAGTAGTAACCTTGTCCAGACTAGAGAAGTAAAGAAAAAGGTTGGTGAATCATTTGTTTGCACAAATTAATACTTCTTTTAAATTGTAAACAGTAGAGGACTTTCTGGAGAGCTCAGCGTGTTAATAATATTGCTCGTCGCTGTGCGTAAAGCGTTTGCAATTTTTTTAACAGGTGCAAGTTTTATGCGCAAATAGATCTGCTATTTGCGTTTTCTGTAATGTGCTTTTTTCGCTGTGTGCAGAGATTGCAAACTTATGCATACAAGTCTTTTTTCGATGTTTATCTTAAAACGAGTATTTATGTTTATCGTGAAATGAGTATTTTGATGGCTCAAATATCTCTGACGCAATTTTTTTATACACTTGCACAAGTGAACGCTGATGGAGGGCTTGAGGTCCAGCTAGAGCTACTGATTTGTGCAGTTGTACCTGTGAATTCAATACTGTTTAGCTGGGCTCTGTATCTAGAAAGCATCACCAATTGCGACCGCATGCATGCATAGTGATCAATCGCTATTTGCGATGGCGATTGCACCCACCTGCATATCTTGAAGCCTAAGCAAATGCAACACAATATTTTCATGTCTGAAAGTACAGTTATAGCCTTGATCATTACATCAGTTCGATTGCTGCATAAAGTGAAAATGTCAAAATTATTGTGTTTGAGTTTGTAAGTAACAAAGTAAGAGAATGATGTTTTTTCCTGTTCGTATATTTACACTTGGACTACTTGGATACATATCAAAAAGACTACATCTGATAACACTTTACTTCGGGATGTTGCAGGAATTAGTCATAATTACATTGTGTTGGGAAATTGGAGTTCTTGACAACTGATCTAAACAACAGCTGGGGGCACTGTGCCAACAGTGATCTTCACACTACATCTGATAACATTTAGAGATTGCAGTAATTAACAACTTGTCCAAACAATAGCTAGTGGACTGTGAGCAGCACTTTACCCATCTGGGATAATAATAGCTAGCACCTTCTCAAGTAGAACAGGCAGAAAGTATTGTTACACGGGTGTGACTGAAATGCGCAATACACTGCAATACAGCGCAACACAGCGCAATACACTTGATAACAAAAGTCTAGTTGCAAGTAAACACAGGAAAGGGTAATCTCAAATAAAATAGGGTGATATAAAAGCAAAATATAGTACATAGTAATTAATATTGCTGATACAACTTGACAATTTTTTCATTGTTTGGTCAGCCGCCATGTTGGCAAGTAGCTCTTCTTGGCCAGTAATATATCCAAGAAGAGCCACTCGCCAACATGGCTGCCAACCGGACAATATAAAAGTCTTGCTGATTTGTTAAGTTATATCAACGATATTGCTTACCTAGTAATATAGGTTGTTTTTATATCACCCTACTTTGCTGGGAATGGTCATTTCTTTAGTGTAATTGCAACTGGATTTGATTTTTGAAGTGTATTGCACTGAGTTGCGCTGTATTGCGGTGTATTGCGCATTTCAGTCTCACCGTTGTTACACTGTACTTGCAACAGGGATTCTCCCAGATATAATAGCAGTGAAACAATGGGGCTATCAGTTTTTTTCACCACTGGGTGGCGCGCGTGCTTTAGTTGGGGTACTTTTGCGCATGCGCGTACTTTCTCGTGTGTTTGCAGTTTCATTTTTAATCTGACGCTGTAAATAGCGCTCTTAATAATGCCAGGATACTGTTGTGTTCCGGAATGAACATCGTCAACAGGAGGTCATTCTTTTCCGAAAGACACAAAACTGAGTTACCAGTGGAGAGTTGCCATCAAGGGGGTTTATTCTACATCAAAAACACTATGGAAACCAAAGGCACATGACAATGTCTGTTTCCTCCACTTTCGTGAGGAAGATTACACTTCTACGTAAGTTATACTTGCTGTTGTCGCTTTTAGTATTAATAATGAGTTTGTCAGCTTATTCATTAGGTCTTTGTTATCGATGTTTAAGTAATTATGTCGTTTAACGTGCTTAGAATGTTAATTTTAAAGACATTCTTCACCTAACATTATGTAGCGATTTGGGGGGAGAAAACACACTACCGACTAAGCTACCGAGCCCGGGTCAATCCCGACCAGCCACTACAATTATTTCTTCGTTTTTATGTGATAATCCATGAGGTTTTTTAAAGGCCACGTTTTCAAATTAAGACAACTTGATTTTTATTGTATTAATAATCGTTATGTGCACTCCTTTTGCAGATGAGAGAAAAAGACTGAAGCCAGGAACGATAGGGCCTACCATCCATATTTCCATTTAATAAAGTGAAAGACGTACCATCATCACGTACTAGCCGTCTAGCTAAACGCCGCAAAGTATCAGATCCGGTGACAGTACCAACAGCTCCTGATTATATTCATGAAGTGGAGGTAAATATAACGCATGGTATAATAACAAATTTATAAATAAAATGTTTCTTTTTATTTGTATAATTATCTGTGTAAATACTAGAAATACTAGAGACGCACTAAAGAGGCAGTCAGATCTGCGTCATTTCTGTCATCTACACTGATTTTATGTGTTAATTAATACATGAAGTATTTTTCTTTGTGTAAGTTATCAACTTCTGTATTTATTTTTTGTTGTATCCTATAGGTTGAGTCTCAAGCAGATGAAGCAGTGGAAGACAAACATGAAGACTGCCCTGGTGAGAGCCAAAAAGAAAGTACAGCTTCCCAGTGTGATATCACTACACCATCAGACACAAGAGAAAGCATCATGCTGTACCAGAAAAATGCAAAGGCTGCCCAGTATCTAACTGGATTTAGTCATTTTGGACACTTCATGTTGTTTTTCAATTGCCTTGGGCCAGCAGCTCACCACTTGAATTTCAAATGTTTGTCACCAGAGGACCAATGTTTTTTTACCATTATTAAATGGAGACAAGCCTTTGACAATTATTATTTAGCTCTCCGTTTCAAGCTATCGGTAACAACGGTGTCAGAAATAATAAGCAACTTTATGTTTTTCCAGCTCAGTGAAATGAACATTTGGCCAGAATGTGACATTGTTGACGACTATATGTCTGTAAATTATAAGAAATATGGAGTATTGATTTCATGGGTAAACAGGAGTGACTGGCATAATTTGTCCTTGTCTCGTCTTTTGGTTGCGTTCAAAATATCACCAAACCTAAAAATGATAAAATTAAATTAGTGAGATAGGTTTTTTTTTACTCTTCTTTTCAATTTGTATTTCAAATGCAAAATGAAATTGTACATTCATAGCATTAAATTTTGACCTTCAAACCATGATATATCATCTCACAACTTGTATTTCTGTACTAAAATGCAACTACAGGTACATATAGTAGCTCAAGCTATGACATGATATTGATACAAAACATTTGAACAAGTAAAAAACTAGCAAACTTATTTTCGTTTGCACACCTACCTCGATGCTGTTATTCTCCATGATCTTTCTTCATGCCACACTCGACTTTAACTTTGGCCTCTAGTTCTGTTTTCAAGTTCTGACACTTCCTTCTCTGTGACCTACCAACATCAATGCAAGGTTATGAGGGAGTGAAAAAATGATGCTAACAAAACGATGCTAACATTCTTGGCAAACACTGTTTTGATTGTCTACCTCATCTACACTTAGATATGTCAACTGTCATTGACATAAAACACGCATCAACCCTTGTTTCTCCTTCACAAATTTGCGTTGACACAAGTCATGTGTCAAATGTCGGACCTGGTACACGAAATTTGATTACCGAAACGAACGGTCCTTTATCGACTAGGAGTGCCTACAATAAACATATTTTAAACATAAATACCTTTATTATATTCTCGGAATATGGAAATATGCAATGACAATATCATTATCTTGAAATATAGTAATAAATTAGGCATATAAGTAGTGCGGAACTAGCCGCCGCTTACACCTGGCTTTTGACAGGGAGCTCACACAGAAACCCATATTTTACGGGAAGATTCGAGCGCGAAACCTTCAATGTTAGTGATACAATTGACACATTTATAAGTAAATACACTAACCTTTCTATCAAATCCTGTTTCTTTCCTCTTGTGGAGGCTCCTCTTTCAACTAGTTGAAGTTTTAACTTCGCTACCGTTTGCTTCCCATACTCTAAAGCCATTTCTACACGGACGCGAAAACGAGGCTATCTTCAATAACCACTATTACCCCAGCGCCCTCTTTAGGACAAACGGCTCCGCGTATAGCCCCATTGCAAGGAAAAATAGAAGCCTGCATCTGCTGTGTTTTTTCTGTCCTGCTGCTGTACAAATGAAATGTTGAGGTGAATTTAGGGTAAAAACTGTCTTACATCGCTGACAATTTTGAATTTTGAAAAACTTTTTCTAGTGAAGTGAAAGATGACAATGAAGCTAGCTAGTTTAGCAAACCCTTGGATGGCACCTCAATGCACAAGTCACATAAGGTGCATGAAACATTTTTTAGTTAAAAATGTGCGACTTTCTAGATATTAACTTCTCTGGCAAAGTGAATATCCATTCATCATATATGTTTTTTTTCTTTGCAATTTCAGATGAAGTTAGATGATGTATTGACACACATTGGTGGCTATGGCAGATTCCAAATTTTGATCTTTGTCCTGATTGGTCTAATCAACTTGCGAAGCAGTGGCTATCTTCTGGGGATAGTTTTCATTGGCTACAAACCAGACCACCACTGCACTCTCCCCACAAATGCCACATTGAATGAGTCGGTGCCCTTAGAACTGGATAATGAAGGGAACTGGCAGTTGTCTCAGTGTAAGATGTATGCTGTGTCAGGGAGTAACAAGACCATTACATGTACAGATGGATGGGATTATGCAACAGAGAAAGGAGAAAAGACTATTGTAACAGAGGTATGTAAACTAAGGTGTGCATCGGCATTAAAAAGTTAATGAATGGAATAAAAAACATAGGCATTAAACAGTTTTCTTTGGGTATCATTTATTCTTCAACATGTGCAGCATGTGTGTTGAAAACCTGCTTGAGAATACACATTTAAGTGAACAAGATGGTTGTGAATACAGTGTAAATGAATCTGTAGCATGGTACTTATTGCATTATCTTGATTCATCTGTCCTCTTTTGCAACTCTTCTTGTACATGTTCTTTCTTAAATATGGTGGAGATCATGAAGACAGGTTATATAGTTTTTATCCTCCAACGTAGCTTTTTAAATATGTATATAAAAGATGTCTTTTATGTGTGATAAAATATGCTTTGTATTTCAAAATTACCAAGGTGTTTTTTTATTGATTTATTTTCATGTTGTTAACAGTTATGCCCATGATGATAATGATTTCATTACAGTGGGATTTAGTTTGTGGTCAAGACTGGTTAGTGGACATGTCCACTACAATCCACATGGCAGGCATAATGTGTGGATCTTTGTTCATCACCCCTTTATCAGACAGAGTGGGCAGAAAACATGTCCTCTTAGCCTGCCTGTGGATACAGACAGCTCTGGCCTTTGGACTGGCTTTCACCACCAGCTATCTGCAGTTTGTTATTCTAAGGTTTTTTATAGGGGCACTTAACAGGGTGAGTGGAAAATATATATATTAGCATGATGGGATTTGTTACAGATAATATCTATGTAGAAACTATGCTAAGAACAGTGAAAGTTTCATTGTTTTCCTGGCAGAAAACACCAAAGACAGTTCAGATAGAGAGATTATCTTTGACTATCCGGATAGTATATCTGCTTTTGTTTAAATGTTTAAGGCTAATTTAAAGTATGTTTAAAATACATAATGCATTATATTAGATATCTGAAGTATTATTTAGGATTTTGTTTTATGCATTCTGACTTAGTTAAAGTATTTATTGATTGTCTGTTGCATACATTTATAAATGTACATATAAACATTTAAGTTGCAATAAATAAAAGCATTTCTAATTTGTTATAAACTATACTATTGGTATATGTTTTGTCAGAACTTGTTTGAATGTTGTGACTGTGGCAATTATAGCTGACAAGAATTAAGTCAGTGGCATTATTTTTTTAATTTATGGCATATGATTACATTTGCAGAAATCTGTCTGCTTTTTATTCAGGCTAACAGATAAATAAATTTTTATCAAATGCTTCAGGGGATTTACCTTACTTAAATGAAATATAAATATTTGCTTATTTTCTGTGAATTTTTTTTATTTAGCAAAATGATCATTTGATTAAAACACAGATGTGCTATCCCAACCCCAGCAATGGCTCAGTGAAAACATGATTTAGCAGAGTATCATAAACATTCCCGTGTCTTCCAGGGTATAGCAGTAATAAGTTATGTAATGATGACTGAAGTGTTCCCACCCTCTCACCGTACTCTGCCTGGGATAGTACAGCAAGTATTCTGGGCTGCTGGCCTCATGGGCCTGGCTTTTATTGCCTGGCTGGTCAAGGACTGGAGGCATCTGTCACTGGTCATCTCACTGCCCACTGTTCTCATGGTCTCATATTACTGGTAAGTTTAGTAGAATAGCCATAAGCTTTTTACAGTGCCACAAAGTACTTCAGGCATAAAGTAATCTAGATAATTTTAATCCAAACTAATTTATTTTGAATGCCTTTTCTGTCCATATTCCCCACAAAGGCTATGTTCATCACAAGTCCAGTATTAACCCTGATTACTCATTAATGACATTAGAGCTTCAAATGTCATTAATGACATTTGAAGCTCTAAAAAAAGGAAACAAGTTTTGTCACAGGCCACCTCCTTTTCATGCACATTCAATGGGTCAAGTAGATATACCTCCAGACAAAAAATAAGGAAACAATTTTTATTTCAAGTCCAAATTCCACATTATGTTCAATATATTGTGCAATATGAATATTAGATGATACAGGTCAAATAAAAGATAAACAATTGATAATAACACAAAAATGTTTGAAATAATGTAGAATTATAAGTCTTTTAATCAAGTCCTTAAATAAATGGCTAGAGAAAAACATCAGTTACATCAGACAAGTTACAAGTGACAACAAAAAGCAATAACATCATCTACAAGTGGGCACTTGTACTGCCCTGTACAGGTACTGTATTTACTGTACTCTGTACAGTTTACTCTGGGTTAATTGTCTGGATGTGGCCATAAATGGATCAAAAAAGGCAAGACTGAAGCTAACTGTACACCAGGATTCAAAAGCGCAATGTGTATGGATGATTTACATAATTTATAGCTTGACATAAAATGCATAGAGAGCTCTAATATTTTTTTATCATCCAGGTTTTATTAAGATCAAATTTTAAATTGAACATATGTAAATATGCACAACATTGTGCATTGATAACTGAGTCTGATTTACCTACAAAATATAGATTCCAAGATCACAAATTGGAAAAAATACCACTGGTGTGTAATTTTTTTGTATCATTGTTTAACAAATTGACAGCAGGTGATGAATTCCTTTTTCAGGCTCCTCCCCGAGTCTATACGCTGGCTTATTGCGAAGGGCAAGATAAAAGAAGCAGAGGCAATTCTTCAAAAGGCTGCTAGAATTAATAAGGCATCTCTACCAGATAACTGTTTATCCTCTGAAGAAATGGACATGATGATGAATCAGAATATAAAACGTGCTGACAACCCATCGACTCAAGAAATGCTTCAAGAAGAAGAAACAGTGGAGGAAGCTCAGCATGTGACTCGGTTAACTTATGACAAGGCTGAAAATATAGCTGGTGAAATGAACATAGAAAATTCTTCTGTCACTCCAAGCAACGAGTGTTCTGCAGAAAACAATGACCAGAATGATGAACATTGTAAAACAAAACATGGCTTTTTTGAACTACTGGACATGTTCAAGATATGCTGCATACCAAAAATGGCATTCTACACTATCACTGTATGTTATTTATGGTAAGAGATCAAAATACTATTAATTTATTTTAATGAATATAAGTTATAGAAAAGTGCTTTAGTTGCTTTTAAAATGCATTCTGTTCGATTGGTTACAATGTAAGCCAGTTAGAACTTATACATAGTGAAGAATGCATTATGCTACTATACAAAAAGTAGCGAAAACATTCCCATTTGATATTTTAAAAAGTTGCAGTTTTGATATAAGTGCATACAGATGCTATTTATGAACATTATATCAGATACGTGCATATATCTAGATAGTAATTAACCACAAGTGGTCTTCCTTTTTTTAAGGATGGTGAACAGTCTAGCGTACTATGGTCTGACTCTGGGTTCTGGGACACTGCATGGAGATAGATATATCAACTTCTTTCTCAGTGGTGCTGTAGAGTTGCCTGCATATTTCATAGGTTCCTTTCTTCTGCAGAGGTATGGAATGTTGGATTTACATTATTGCCTTCTATGTCGAGTGCATTCAGTCAATGGCAAAAGTAAAAACTGGTTCAGGACCTGATTTTTCACCATACAAGAGACCGATTTGGTTTACGTGAGATTTAATTGCCTCATGGGAAAGGTGGGGCCTCAGACATTGAAATCCCTGATGAGTTTAGACAATTTTATGTCTCTTTACTTATATGAAACACTTGAATGCTGTTTAAGCTGTGTATCAGGCATGAGCTTTTTTCTGCGGAGAAGCAGAATTCCATGTTTTTAAACTCATTTCTGATGGTTTCTGAGATTCGTGTTGGATCCCACCATAAAGGTTCAGAGGGTTTTTTTAACCCAAGGGCTCATGTCTGGTGTGTAGTATCAGTGGTATGTTGGTAGGCATGAGTTATATGAGTGATTAAGAATAAGATTGTCACACATTTTATGGCATTTTAAGATACAACCAGTATAAGCTTTTTAATGATTATTTTCTGATAGTGAACTGTATTGCTCTAACAAAGATGTCAATATTTCAGAGAGGGGAAGGAGATGGAGGAGACATAATCAGCATTGGATTCTGTAGTTTTTATAACAGAAATCAGTTGATTATTATTTTACCATTTTACTCTTCAGATTTGGAAGAAGAAAACCTATTTGTATGTTTCAAATGTTGTGTGGTTTGTCTAATATTATGCTGGTGTTCATACCAAAAGAAACAGGTAAATCTTTTTATTTTTATTGAGCTTTTATAATTTTATTCTCAAATGCATCCTATGTTACAGGCATTTTATTTCCATAACATTGTCATACTTATTACCTCCCATCTTTTTGTTTCAATAATTAAAAAGATATATATAATTTTTAATTAATTACTTTGTGTGTTTAAGAAGTTCATACCTTTATTTAGACCTTAGTGTTTTTTCCAGTTTCTAAAACTCAATGAGATTATATAAATTGTTTATTGAACATTTGAAGTAATGTGTAGAGGGTAAATACAGGAAATACATGTGTAAGACATTGCCTTCTTTCAGACAGTGGAGTGAACCTCCTCCCTCTTATCATCACCATCTCATTGCTGGGGAAGTTTGGGATCACTGCATCCTTCAGTAGTATATACCTGTATTCAGCAGAAATATTCCCAACTGTATTTAGGTAAATTTTATATTGTTTGAGCATTTTGTCTTCGTTTATCTACAGTGCATTTCTTTTGATGTTTATTATAAATGAATCTCCATTGCTGAAAATACCCATCTTACCTTGACAGTGGTGAGATTTTTCCAACCATTGGCAGATGTCTGACTTTTGGAAGCCAAATATCATGTTTGAGATTGATGCAGATATGAAATAAAAACTGTGTGTATGGGTGGGAGGAGGTGGGGTAGGTCTGGACACCACGCCATATTTCCAGTTTTTTCCACAAAATGGTAGTCTTGTCCTTGTCTAAATGCTTTTTTAAAAATGCGTAATATTTATTTGACATAATATGTTTTTTGATTTTAGGAACTCTGCATTTGGATTTGCAGCATTTTGGGACACTGTTGGTGGGATGGCAGCACCTTTTGTTATATACAGTGTAAGTCTTTGCTTTATATGCTTGCAGGTATACTGGTACTTTTTGAGAAGAAACCAGGTGGAAGTAGGAATTGTCTTTTCTGCAAATAGATGAATTGCTGTTTTGAAGTTAACCATTTTATTTTGTTAGAACTTCTCATAGTGTTTTAGCATATGCTCCCTGTTGAGGTTTTCTAAAAGCCCTTCTGTTTGAATTGCTTACAAGTGAAACATAACATTGAACTTCTTTTTTGTCATTTCCTTCAGTCTAAAGCAATGTTGGAGCTGCCAAGAACAGTGTTTGGAGGGTTAACAATAGTTTCTGGACTGTTAACTCTCATCCTACCGGAGACCCACAACCGTCCGGTGCCAGAGACAGTAGAAGATCTTGAGAAATGGAACACTCAGCTGATAAGTAAAAAGAAGCCGAGAGTCTGAAATTAGATTTACAATATTACGTTTTGTAGTGAACCTGTTAAAACCAAAGTATTTGATAAATATCCAAAACAGGTTTCATGTGGTCTCTGGATCAGATAAAAACAAACACCATTCATATGATCAAGACTTAAGGTTGTGAAGACAAGATGAAATGTATGACTGTTTGTTATCTAATCGGGTCTAATCATTTCTACTGTATTTAATGATTATTGTTAAGTTTAGTAGAAGTTAGAGGAGACTGGGGAAAAAACTGAACATGTTTAGTCTTTATGGAGGATCTGGGTAAAACAGTATAGTATTCAGTGTTCAGTCATTGATTGTTTTTCTGGAGAATATGCTTCCAAGAGAATATTCATGATGTTGGGGGGAGTATAGTAGGTCAAGAGGCAAAACCCCATTAGAAGCAGGGAGCAAAGCCTCCCTCCAAAGTTGATAAGAATATATTTAAAAATTGTCTTTTTCTTCTGCCACCCTTGTGTCATGCTTGATGTTTTATGAGGCACGTACTCCTCACCATATTGCACTCATCTAGATATTCAAGGCATCCCTTTTGTCTATAGTCCAGATTGATAATAAGCTTCTTACAAACTGTCAAACATTAGATTACTATCTACTTTATGATTCTTTCCATGCAATCAGATACAATTTCCAAGCATCACAAGCATTAAAAATGTAACTGTATTTGAGTCTGGAATAACCTTGAGTCTTTCTTATGCCTACAGGGTATAATTGGCCAAAGCCAAGACTTTCAAGAACCTTTTAGATTATTTTTGTTATGGCCTCTGTGGGCTTTTCCAATCTGAAAGTGTACTTTCTACACACAGATCCTTGCATAGTCTTTGGCTGGCAGTGAAGGCTGCTCCATCTCCTCCTCTTCAGCTTCCTAGGGAGCAGGATGTCCCCTTGTGCAGCTGTCTGAAGGGAGTCGCATATACTTAAAAATGCAACCCTGGTACATGACCCATAATATTCTGAATGTCTCTCCTCAAGCACTGGGCTAGCTCCCTCTAGTACTACATTCACTGAGGAGTCCAATTTGCCTTCTAATTTTCAGAATATTGAAATTACATTATCTGTTTGCTCTTGTAATGTTTGTGCCAATTTTCTCGTGAATTCGTCTCTGAGCTTTGAAAGTTTGTAGTCAATGAAATCTTTCAAATCCTGTTCCTGGGCGTGGCCTTGGTGGCTCATGAAGTGGTTTGATCAGTCAAGAAGGCGTCCCCGCTCCCAAACAGACTGATTTCCGTCACCTCAGTCTTGCCACCGGCAGCGCTGATTGAGCTAGTGACTAATCCCTGCATATGTATGAAAATAATTTTTTTTCTTTTATCATGTCGGTGAGGTGACATGAAACTAAGAGAATATACCTGACCTGTATAACCACAAAACACTTAGTCATACCTTCAATTTTAATGGCTTACCTATGTCTTGGGTGCTTGTATCCAGCAAGTTGCAGGGCATTTGCAGAGGGCGATTTCCTAGGATCTTGTCAAGCTCTTCGTAATACTTGCATGTTTTGTGCCCCCTACCACTACGACTGAAAAAATATAAAGGAAGAAATACATGAAGATATAATAAACACATGGATATGGGTAATCAACAGTAACAACACCTGAGAAAGGAATCAGAAGGCCTATGGGCGCTATCTAATAAGGTAAGTTATGAAAAATACGAAGGTGAATGAAGTCGGAAATCTGACAGTAGTTGATAATTGCAAAATTCAATAGAAACTCACTTGTTGTTGTCTTTCGCTTTCTTACAGTTCTCTTTCAACTTTCTGAGTTTATTGAGGCAAGCCTGGCCTGAACGATCAATACCGCAATCCTGTCTCAGCTGCTCAGTGATCTTTCGGAAAACTTGAACATTTGTGTAACGCACACTTGCAAACTGTGCTTGAATGTCTTCCTTCCCCCAGATATTGATGAGTGCGAGGGTCTCTGCGTCTGTCCAGTTTTCCATTCCCTTTGCCTTTCCTCCCAACTGGTTTGGCACTACTACTAGTCTGTCTTCTCTTATTGTGGCATGTACAGTGATAGGTAATTCATTGGATATTCCTTCTTCACTTGGTATGAGGAAAATAGTTTCAGCAATTTCTTTGTTCATTGCTGTTTCCCCCTGTAACTCTTCAGAAATGAAGAGGAAATCCCCGTTGTTAGAGGAGGAAACAGCAATAAGTGTAATTTTTTTTCTTCATCCATGCTTTGTTGTATCTGGAATGAACAGAGAAGGCATAACTAATTATAATTTGAAACAGTGTATTTGTTAAACATCATATAAAACATTTAATTGTAGTGAAATTACAGGACCAAGGACAGTGTTGACGTAGGTATAGTATTAGTATTCTTGCTTGTTGGGATGAAATCATGCATGTATGTTTTATATTCAAGTTTTAAGTATGATAGTTTTAGAAAGGAAAGACAAGGATGAATGAAAACAGTGAGATGTTTGATAATTTTTTGCATCATTTTTGTTGGTCCTAACACTGAAAGTTGCTAAATTGCATGAAAATTGCTATTAAAGTTGCATGGAGGGCAATTTTAAGTGTGAAATGAACTGAATTTTGGTGCACTTGTGTACAACATTAATCCCTAGTAATGTGAAGTAGATATTGACATTTTTGCATGGTTTAATATGACATAATAATAATTATTAATGGATGGATATACAGTGATATGGAATTGTTTAAGATGAAATAACTTCTTTAACATTTAGAGACTATTTAGTATGGATTACAAAATAAGAAAAAAACAGTTGTTACCTCCACATCTTTGGAATTGTTGATGTGGCACACCAACCTTTTTACAAAAGAGATGAAACTTATTTGTCCCTTAAATTCTGCCAAACTTCCAACCTTGACAGGAGAACTAGAGGCATCTTGCCATAGATTTACAGCTATTGAGTCTGTTTTATCTTGTACCATGAGGCTTATCTTTGTAGGTTGTCCCTTGACTATAAGGTCCTTGGTTGTTTCAATCTGTAAAGAAGTAAGAAGTGATTTCAACAAAAGAAACTGGCAATGAATAAAATGTTAGCCTGCAATATGATGCATTGGTTTTGAAACGTTATTGCAAAACAGTTAATTGGTTCCTTTTGGAGATCCATTGATAATCCTGTGCAGATGAATGTCAAGTGCAAATGTCGCAATATCACATCATGCTGGTGAAATAGCATCATTGACAAACTTTAGTTTAACAGTTGTTTTGGTTTTGTCCAAAACATTTGGGGCAGATACTATTATTTCTGAATATACATTCCCAATAAGACTTATTTTGTTTTCTTTTTTGTTTTCTTTCGTTCTTCCTTTCTTTTTTTTTTTTTCTTAATAATGGAACTGTCTAGTTTGCTGGAATATATGAGATGCTTATACTTGTACTTTTGATAATCAGTCTGGGCAGGGGGCATGGCACATCAATGGGTTATCCTCTCCCAGATCTCCTTTCTTTGCTTGCCCCCATAAAGAGCCATCTTCCTAGCTCCCGATTTGTCCGCCACACCGACTTCGGTCATGCCTTTCACCTGGCCTTTCTTGTCAGTATAGGATGTAGTTTCAGTGGTCGCTATAACTTTGACCCTCAACCTTGAAGCACGTGGATGGGCTGAAGTGTTGGCTGAAATCTGTTGCAAGGAAAGCATGTTGATGATGAGTAAGTCCTAGGACAGAGTAACTGTGTTTTCAGTTGCATCTTCTTTTTATTAGCTGTGGGAGACGACAGCCTTGGGGGGTTGACTGACCATTTGTTATGAATAAGTTCTCTAATAGTTTGTAATTAATGTTTAAAGACAATCCACCTCTTTATACTGCATCTGCTGACTGTTCTCTCTGTCCGATGTCTCTGCTTACTCCATACCTTCTTGCTGCATATTATTTTCCTCCTCATGCTGCCTCTCATGTAGTGTAGCTAAGAAATCTCTTCGCATTTCATTCGCGATGCCAACAATGACGTAGTGCTCTCCTTTCCCCTCCAGGAAGTATCCAAGTGTAAGAGTAAACATAGTGCTGCTGTACTGCCCATCTGGTGAAACTAGTGTTGTAAAGTCTGGACCATCTGATGCGATGAGAAATTGGACGTTGGACGACAAGGCCATAAGTGTAACGTGGTCACCGTATGTTGTTTTCTTGAGCATATTATTAGTGTAGGTATTAAAATCACCAAAAATGAATTGCTCGTAATGCGCCTCGTTGTCTCTAATGTGACAGATGGCTTCTACTCAAAGAGAAGCTGCGGTGCCGTGTATCCTAAAAACAGACAGCTGGTGACCAACCACCGGTTTCTCGGCATTTGTTAAGCACTTTAATGTTTCTTTGATTCAGATTGTTGACCTTGTCTTTATGTGATAGCACTATATAATATATCTTCTCGTGCTGTTGTTTTTTCCATTCTTCTGTTGGGCTTCTCTTTTCTTTTCTTGGCTGGCTGTTGCCACTGTTAAATCAGTCACTGATACCCATTGGGTGTTGATGGTTCCATTGGGCCACTTAATCGTCACCAAATATTTATGCTTGAACAGATCACTATCAACTACAATTCCTTTACAGGCATACCGACATCTTGGAATTATTTGGCTGCCTCTGCCACTTGGAGGGTACCGAACAAACAACCTCTCACTCTCTCGGTAAATTGCTGTTTTCTTTGTGCCCTTTATGATCATGCGTGTACTGGCCTGCCTTGATTAATTCTTCACTTTTTTGCGCATACCAACGTTTCTAGATCGGAAAAAACTTCTCTCGCTGTCATGATGCTAAGGACCTCTGTGGGAACGTTGTTAATGGCTTCTTGGGTTTCATGGAGGCTCTTTGCCAAATTAAAGCCATTGTGTTGCTGGACTTTGAAGCTTTGTGGCTCAAGTTTAAGAGACAGCGAAATTTGGATGGTATGTTACGTGCATGAAGTGTTAGAAATCATCAAATTTGATAAAGGCCTAGCTAGTCAAAAATTCGCTTTCCATACGAGTATTGGTTAGTTATGATTTTTTATCATTCATGGTCCCAAGAGAGTGAAACGTTGATACCAACTTATTCATGTCGGATGCTATAATAATCAAATATATTTTGCAATCTGTACATGAAAAATTTTAAGAGCATACCTGTAACCTTCTTTGCACCTCTACATTGGGTTTGGGTGATCAATGAAGTTAAAGCTTACATATTTTGTACGTATTGACAGATGAAATTAATATTTACCTGAAAATCCTTGAAGCGTTCGTGCACCTTATCACACCATCCCTAACAAAAAAGTGTTGTATTATACACCAAGCAAAATACCACCACAATGCAGTTAAAGCATACATATTTTGTATTTATTGACAGATGAAATTAATATTTACCTGAAAATCCTTGTAGCATCCCTGCATCTTATCACACCATCCCTAACGAAAAAGTCTCATATTATATACCAAGCAAATACCACCAGTCTTTGCTTGGCCCCTTTAAGAGCCATCTTCCTAGCTCCCAATTTGTCCGCCACGCCAACTTCGGTCACGTCTTTCACCTTGCCTTTATTGTCAGTATAGGATGTAGTTTCAGTGGTTGCTATAACTTTGACCCTCAACCTTGAAGCATATGGATGGGCTGAAGTGGTGGCTGAAATCTGTTGCAAGGAAAGCATGTTGATGATGAGTAGATCTGAATGTAAGTCCTAGGACAGAGTAACTGGGTTTTCAGTTGCTTCTTCTTTTTATTGGTTGACTGACCAATAGTTAGGAATAAGTCTCTAATATGTCATTAATGTTTAAAGACAATTTTTGGGAAAAGACAAACAGACTGGAAAGTGATCGCCAAAATAAGTAGGCAAAACTGTAATTTTCAGTTCTTCATGATCAAAGTTTGTACAAGATCTAATGCCGATTCATAAATGGTAGTTGGAGTTGTGACACAATGATTAAAATTAAAGTCAAGGCACATTCTGAGAGCATTTGCATTGTTTTCATGGAGCCAGTTGACATTAAAGTCACCTACAATAATGCATTTGTTTGTCTTGTCTATCTGCTGACCCAATCAATCTTTTCATCTGCAATTTTTTTGTCTTAAAAAATATGTTAACATACATAGAGGCTCTTCTGTCATTGTGTCTTAATTCAGACTTGCAGATGTCACAAAAATTCGTAAAAGCATGCCTCTCAACCCGACGTAACGAGGAGAATAACTAAAACGTAAAAGCATGCCTCTCAACCCGTCGTAGCGAGGAGAATACATAAATCGTAAAAGCATGCTGCTCGACCCCTGGGGGGGCAGACCCTGAAAAAGTTAACTTCCAGGTTGAATAGTGTACAGTCACTGAAACGAAAACAAAACTATTCGCTCCGGCAACATAATGAATATGAACGGCCTGCCTCTGAAAGATAATTAACACAGAGTAATTCTTAGCCGAGATGCCTTCCTGATAATAGCGCCTCGCAAGCTGCGGTAAAGTTTGTACTGCCCAACCTCAGACAGATGGACCCCGTCCGTTTTTATGTGTAGCCAGGACGGATTGCCTAGACCGACATTCTTCCAAAAAGAAATAAACAAATGTATCTGGGCGATGTCTGAAAGAAAATTATTAAGCTGATCAACTTCATCATTGAAGTTGGAATAGGGGAGACGGAGCCTGTGATGAACCTGATTCACCAATACATGAGAACTCGTGACAGCTCCGAGCGAGGCCCTCAATGCTCTTACCTATATCGAACAGAGAAATATTCAAGTCAGATAGGTCATTAGACCCAATTACCAATATAACCAAGGCGGGGCGGACCCGGTGAAGGATATCCAAGTCATACCTGACTAGTTTCGGTAACGTACGGCCTCCCACACCGTGCCAGTGTACAATGTTGGGAAATCCAAAATCTTTCTCCGTATGCCCCTCCTGGCCTTGGTCAAGATATGAATGAAGCCTATGAACAAAGGAGTGACCAATGATAAGGACCGCCATGGCCAACTGTGATCAAAGATAACTTAAATGTAAAGAAAAGAAAATCTTACTTGTAAAATGAAAGGTCTGCTTCTCGTATGAGTCTCCTTCTAGGTTGGATCCGTGAGTCCCTCAAACAAAGCCGGATCAAGAGAAATACTGGCAGACACAAAGTGTAATGCAAACAAAGATGGTCAGCGAGGCAAAAATGAATAAATTCCAATGGTGAGTGTTCCTTTTCTCAATAAAGTCTATTCAAGCTTGGTTAGATCCAAGAGTCGCACAAACGGATTAGTAATAAGTAAAGAAGTAAACAGTCACAGACCAAACGAAAATTTTTTTCCAGCGAAGCTCAACTGGTATAATCAATCTTGAATGCTATGCTTTCCGCAAAGAACTTGTAGCAAATTGAGGCCGAGCACTAGTGTTTACTGAATAAATGCGGCAGCGCGTAATTTAAAGAGAGCCCCGGATTAAGTGCTGCAAATTTCAGCAAAAGTGACGCTTAAAAGCTGCCGGTTCTCCCTGATTGGACAGATAATTTTCAAGGAGCGTAATGCAGTGAATTCCAGATGCCATTCCCTGTTTACACTCCTAACCTGGTAATACTAGATGCCGTTTCTCCATGCTAATGAAAGTTCGCAACGGCCCATGAAATCAATTAAGTTAACCGTCGCCATAAACATTGTTTGTCTACGCCAAACTTCCCTTTTTATTTCTAGATCGTGCATTGCCAAGAAATATTTCTGGAAAAGCCAGTTCTTCAGTGTTGATCTCTTAATATGCTGAGTGGTTGACCTTCTTGACCAGGTGCAAAAGAGTAAATTTTCTCTCTCTGTGTCTTTCAAGAAGTCTGTTAACATTGTATCTCTTATACCAGGTTTCATTTCTTTGTCATCAATTTCATGCCGATCTTCAGTATCATTTGACTGTGAGTATTTACCTCTATCTGAATTAGCCTGTGTCATCTCTTTCTTTTGCAGCAAGTTCTTGCTTATGTTATTAGCAGGTAATGATAAGTCACATACATTTTGCACTACATCATAGTGATCAGAATTAGTGTTTTGCAAGTAAATGGCTATTTCATGTGAATGATTGTTCTGATCAAGAAACTTAGCTGAATACTTCAACCATTTCCAAAAGCTGCCAGGCTTGCAGTATACATAGATGTCAGTTTGTAGTAAATGTGCCGCAGCAAGTATATCTGTTTCAGTACCCCAAACATTTGCATTATTCATGCCTGTTCTTCTTACATAATTTGCTGATGTGATGTCATTATCACCTAACGTACTACTTGGAAAAGCATACTCAAGCTGCTTCATATGACTGATGATTCTGTTTCTAAGTAAACTGTGATCGTCATCATACAACGTGTCACAACCAGTAATGGCAAAAGACAAACTTCGAAAAAAACTATCCATTTCCAATAATTTTTTTTAACTGGCTAGGTTTTGTCAAGAGAAATTGTGTGGATGCTTTAATTGTAAATTTACTTTGTCAGTCATTTTCTCTTGCCACAGGGCATCTACAGGCATAAAATAAAATAAAGTGATGTCAGTTTGTAGATGTTGTACCTCATTTTCAGATTCACAAAATCGAGGTAATAAATGTCATTGTTGGATGTATGATAACTCTTTCTGCAAGTGTGAAACAGATCTTACTCTGTGTGGAATTTTCTTAACAGTCCTGAAATATCTTGAGTACCATGTTTTACCTTGTTTTTTTCTTTTGAATAAGCCATAATAACTCAGTTTCAAATGCTTGTATTTTCTTAGTACATAGTGGTGCTTGTAAGCAATGAGTTTTTCAATTCCTACTCTACTAGAATCTCTGATTATATTTGGCTTCATGCGATATCTTGATCTGCCTCTGGTTTGTGATTTAGATGCAGGTACTTCCAAAACATGAGAGTGTTGTGAGAAAACATTAATTTTTTTTTTCACTTTGAATAGTAGCCACAAATTCGTCAACATTAACAGGTGGGTCATATCTATATGGCTTGTCTAAAATGACATAGAATTTATCTGCAAAATCACCATCCTGATCCGTAAGGTGTCCTTCTTCAGAAAATTGGATATTTCCAGAAAGGCACTCAACACAAATTCTTTTAATAAGTTTTGTATTTGTTCCTCATTTAAGTTATTCACAGTTGTATACCCCTTTTCCGTTTGTTCAAATGTGCTAGAGCTGCAGGGATTATCTTCTTATTTCCATGATGAGTCTACAGTTATTCCCTTTTCTTCATACAATTTTCCATAAGTAGTTAACCAATTTGCTACTTCAAGTACTTTGTTAGGCCTTACATTCTGAGCATATGCGTAACTCTTAAATTTCACATTTCTTTTTAGTTGAACTTTTATTGTTGAACTGTCAGTGCCAGTTCTTGGTAACTGTTACTGTAACAGTGGATGTTACATCTGCTGGTATATTTACAACATTCCCTTCTAATTTGTATTGCTTTCCACGTGGAGCTTGATGAATCTTCATGAAAACTAATCTTGGGCTACTTAGTCTCCACTCTAAAGGTTTTTAATCCAAAATCTTTTTTTTTTTTTTTTTTTGAAACGAAATCCTATTTACAATAGCACATGGAGGTATTTAGTTCTTTTTCAAATGAGAAGCGCATGTTATACACATCCAATTACTGTTAAATAACTCACCAGCTTCTTTACATTGATTAACTGCATTATTTTCTATATTCAAGATAGGCTCTCTATTTATGACAGAATGTCTGTACCAGAGTTGTTGACAAATACAGCATGTATAAGTACAACCTTCAAGAGTACAACCTTGAAGAGTAGTATAGATTTTCTGTCTCTTATTAGGCTTAGCAACTGCATCTGAATTCATTTCACGTGTTCAGAAATTTGGATCAGATCTTCTTTTTTGGTTTTTCTCAGTAACTTTGTAATCAGGATCAGACCTTTTCAACTGCTTGTGCTTTAGAATATTGGACTTTACATCAGACTGAGAACACTTTAGTCTCTTGGCTTCTTGTTTGGTTTTTCTTGCACTGAGGATCAGACCTTTTCAGCTGCTTTTGCTTTAGAATATTGGACTTTACATCAGACTGAGAACGCTTTGTTCTCCAAGATTCTTGTTCGGTTTTCCTGATCAGATCTAAGAAGTCACATTCTGATTTTATTCTTCTCTCTTTTCAAAACTTTTCTGTCAGTGCCATTGGTTTCCATTAATGAACTATCCAAGAGATTTTTATTCATTGTGTCAATTTTGCTTTGTTTTTTGTCTTCTGCCCATTTTAACTGCTTCTTCATTTCATCATGTTAAATTTTCATATGGGGTTTGTGCAAATTTGTTTTATCAAAAGTGGAAGAGATGGAATCAGAAGTAATGGGATTACCTGTGTATTTTGTCAATGTTGCTTTTCTTTGCTGAAATGAATTGGCAACTTTGTCCTTTAAACCGCTCTTTGAATTTTTTCTAAATCTTGTAGCAAGTTTTCTGACATGAACATTCTTTTCCAAAGGTTTCAGAGATGATGTTAATGTTACTATATTAGGATCAATTTTTGGAATTTCTGAAGAAACTGATTGCTGTGATTTTTGTTTAATTTTTGGGGTACTGTTGAAAGCTTTGGGTTGACTGGCATCTTTGACTTTACAAGTAAGGCTGACATATCTGATGATGTATGATCTGAATATTTCATAGACTTACTTGAAGGATCTGCAGCATCAGTGGCACTCAAACTGACAGGCATTTCAGGAAAAGCTGTCAACTGTAGCATCATTCTCAACTGTAACAGCTGTATCAACTGTAACATCTTTATGCACTGCATGAACAGTATCATCTGAATCAATTGTAATCTCAGTTGTCTCAGTAAAAACTCAGTTCCCATCAAGGTGGGCCTGGCTACTGAAGTAGACACAGGCAACACAGTTCCCACCGAGGTGGGCGTGGCTACCGAGGTAGACAAGCAACTCAGTTCCCACCAAGGTGGACGTGGTTACTGAAGTAGACACAAGCAACTCAGTTCCCACCAAGGTGGGTGTGGTTACTGAAGTAGACACAAGCAACTCAGTTCCCATCAAGGTGGGCGTGGCTGCTGAAGTAGACACAAGCAACACAGTTCCCACCGAGGTGGGCATAGCTACCGAGGTAGACAAGCAACTCAGTTCCCACCAAGGTGGACGTGGTTACTGAAGAAGATACAAGCAACTCGGTGCCAACGACGTGGGCGTGGCTGCTGAAGCAGACACAGTAGGAGGCCTGTTTGCCCAGCCACCCTCTGTCGAGTTTCTTTGTTTTTACTCTTCTGCAGTGCCCTTCTTGTAGCCAAACTCTGTTTTTTCAAGCGAGGCATCTAGAAAAGAATAAAAATATTATATTTATTGCCAAGAATATAACAAGCTGGTTATTATAAGGGATAAAATATAATGGAAAATGAAAGAGTGGTAAACAGTTTCTTTTGAGTGCAACTGTATGATAAAAGTCCTTCCACAAACTACCATGACTAAGAAGAAGTGCACTGAGAAAAACATTATTCATTAATGTGTTGATTCTATAATTAAAGGTACATGTAAACTGAGTATTAGTGGAGAGTGAATTCCCAGTAACCCATGTAAAGCACCTCTACTAGTTACTTGAATAAGTGAAGGTTGAAGGACAAAGATCAGACGTTTTCAAGTGCTTGATCTTCATATCAGACTGAGAGTGTTTTGGTCTCTGAGATTTTTGTTCACTTTTCCTATACTGTGGATCAGACCTTTTTTAACCATTTTTTATACTTTTCTCTGTTACTTGGTAATGTGGATCAGCCCTTTTCAAGTGTTTGTGTTTTTTGAATTATCCTTTTCACTTGGGACTGAGAACATGTTATTCTTTGAGCATTTTGTTCAGATTTCCTGAACTGTGGATCAGATTTAAGAAGTTGCATCCTGATTTTATTTTTCTCTCTTTTCAAAATATTTCTGCCAGTGCTACTGGTTCCTGTTAGTGAAGTATCCAAGAGAGTTTTACTCACTGAGTCAATTTTGCTTTGTTGTTTGTCTTCTGTCCAAATAACTGCCTCTTCATTTCATCATGAGTCTTTTCAAATGGAGTTTGTACAAATTTGTTTTATCAAAAATGGATGAAATAGAATCAGAGGTGATGGTATTACCAGTGTGTTTTGTTAATGGTACCTTCTTCATTGAACTTGTTTTTGAATATTAAACACTTTTTTCCAAAGGTTTTAAGGATGTTTTTAATATTACCATATTGTTTTTTTTTTTTTTTTTTTTTTAATCAGAAGGGACTGATTGTTGTGATTTTTTTCTTCAATTTGTGGGGTACAGTTAAGAGCTTTGGGTTGACTGGCATGCTTCATTTTGGTGGACACAGCAGTGTTTTCACTACAGCATGTCGATTCAACAAAGGTGGGCATGAGATCACAATGGCCGCACTCACACCACGCCATATCGTTCAGCCGGCTGACTGTAGAGAGCTCTCTTTCACTATCTTCCTGGTCCATTTTCCTCTCTGCATCATCCACATCTTCCACAATATCCTCTAGTTCAAACAAATATCCTTCAATTCGTTCTCTGTTCATTTTGATAAAAATATCTTAGATAAAGCAAGTGAATGCAAGTAAGCGAATAGCTGAATCAAATTTAAGTAAATGGCTTCCTGAGCCTCTAGGCAAGTGTCATCACTCGCCTCAAAGCGCCACCACACGGGAGTATCGTAAACTACATTCACACCTGCATAAAATCGGCTTTAAAAAACTAATTAAACGTAAGAATTTTTTTTCATTACTCAAAAATTACTTTTTGGCACCTAAAGGATAGTTTTAACCCATTTTTCATCACAGTATACCTTTAAGCTAATTAAGATAATGTTAGTGATATCACCAACAACAGCCAAGTGTGAAAGAAGTTTTTCATTGATGAAAAATGTAAAAAGCAGGCTTAGAGCAAGTCTGAATCAAGAAACCCTCCAGTGCCTTATGCACATCGCACAGGAAGGTCCAGAACTTAAGGACTTTCACCCAGAACAATCTGTAGAGCACTGGCTAAGTGCAGGTCCTGGAACTAGGCACGTGTTCGGCCACACTGTCCCAAATGCCCCTTAAGAAGGGCAGATACGTACACAAGGGATTGTCAGTTTTGTAACTGTGACTGTATTCACAATCTGGACACAATCATGTAATAATAAGATAAAATAATGTTGTGTTAGCATATTCATCCTGAAGTGAGCCTGCGCTTTCAAGGTGAAGAACAAGAGGCATTAGTGACTTCTGTACAGCTTGCAGTGCCTTGAACTTGCTTGCAACCCATCTCACCTAAAAATGGAACATTAATGTATTTTGTTAAATCTGTAAACAGTGCCATGGTGCACTTTGTAATGATAAAAGTTGTTAACAGTGACACACACATTATATGACAGATTATTTGAATAA